TTTTTTTTGATTTATGAAAAGAAGCATAAAAAAAAAAACACAATGGGACTCAGGCTCGACAACTTTCGGTGCGCAGTGAAATTCAGGGTTGGCAAAAACAGGTTGGGAGGTACTAGTGGTTTAAGAATCTCTTTGTGAAAAATCAGCTACCGAGGAAGAGTCGAAGCAAAGAAGGCTGCAGTTTGGGGCTAAAGGAGATAAAATGAGGCTCCTATGAGTATGGGGGTGCCATTTTCGCAATCCGAGAAATAATGGGCTGCCTCTCGCGCCGATGCGCGTCGAGGAGGAGAAAGAGCGACTTAGAAAACGTCTCAACAACTATTTGACACTTGTCATGTCAAAAAAAAAAAAAAAAAAAAAAAAAAAAAAAAAAAAAAAAGAGTGAGACAAGAGAGGAAGAGAAGGTGAGATTGAGATGGCCTTCAGTAGGGACAAGCACCGTAAGGACTGACAAGTACATTTCATGACCGAATTCATCCTACGATGAATCGGTTACAAAATATCCTAGTTTTTCTCGATTTTCTCTCAAAAAATCAAGAAAAATCAAAAGGGAGGTGGTCTGTGATGCAACGGACCACAAAAAGTAAAGCAAACACATGTTTCAAGTACATCTGGAGCCAACATTGAGTCCGGATGCACTTGAAAATGTATCGGCCCATTTTGTGTCAGTTTCTGACAAGTTTGGGGACAATGAGACTACAAAAATGACCACCCTTGCACTCGGAAAATTAACGAACTACAAGGGGTTGTCAAGGCCAAGGGAAAATGAGTCATGGCGTACTCAAGACACCTAGAATGAGATGTCCCAAGAGTGGGGCAAGATGAGACGGTAAAGGACAACCGTGACATGAAGATATGACGACCGAAAATATTCAACACACTTGAGACACATGGAAAAGGGGGATTAAAATGACGGGAACAAAAGAGTCCCAAATAAAAATGGGCCCACGTATAGAACGATGTCGGAGACTAGATAGGTCTAAATAAAAATAGGCGAAAATTGAGACCCGTGCCGGTGGAACTACCAGCGAGACCAAGAAATGGGACTAATGAGGGTGAGAGACGGGGACTTGAGGTGTCCCAAGGAAACTATGGGCCAACATAAGGATGAACAAACAAAGCAAGCAGTACCGTCAAGATGAAGATCTTGTGGTGGAGAAAGTTAGCTCTAGGCGAGGAAAAGTTGAGAAGGAAGGTCTGTATAGTAGTCCGAGATATCTTGGACCAACCGAGGAAGATAAAATAGATCCTTGAGGGACTCTATGCAACAAAAAGGCTGCCAAGGAAAAATTGAAGTAAGGGGGGCCGCAAATAATGGAGGAAAAATTGAGTTCTCATGAGTATAGGGGTGTCATTACTGTAATCCTAGAAATAAAGGACAACAACTTTATCTAGATCTAGATCTAGATCAAGATTCATGACCTAGAAAAAAAGTCTACAATTGGTTGACACTTGTCACAACTGAAATAAAAAAAAAGAAAATAAAAAGGGAAGAAAAAGGAGAAAAAATGAGACAAAGGGGAAGAAAATGGAGGGAAAATAAGACAAAAGGGGAGAAAAAGGCAGAAAATGGCCGGCCAGTTGGGGCTGACACAGCAGGGACTGACATGTCCCTACGGTAACCTCATCACTCCGGATTTAGTGGAGGTTAATCCAGAGTGAGGAGACACGGCCCTTGGGGCAATATCTTGACAAAATAAAAATTAGAGAAAAAGCAAAAGAGAGTTGACCGGTTTTATTTTGGTCGTAGATCAAAGATTCAGATCAATGGAAGAGACGATATGCCCGTTTTTTGTGATTCCAACTCAAACGGCCAGCTGCGGAATGAGTTGCCAGCCCAAAATGGAAAGAAGCAAAAGAAAAAAAAAAAACAGAATGATGCATTTGGCCAAAAACTGAGGCCAGATGCACCCAAAATTGAAAAGGAAAGCCATGGGGCTCAAATATGAAGCAAGGGTCACTTGTGGATAACTCGGATCAAGTCAAGCCTTGGATCTTAGACAGATCCAAGCCAGAAAACGCTCCAAGGTTCAAGGAGGTACCTTGGCCCACCCAAATTGATATAGGATTAGAAAAAATCGAAGAAAAGGCCCACAAGGCTTTTTCTTGGGCCTTTTCTTTTCAACCAAGGCTGCCCCTTGAATATTCAGAACCATGGGGCAGCAACTAAAGATGAAAATGAGGCCTAGGATGGCCACAAAGGTAGTCCGAGCTGGTACCAACCACTCAGACTGAATGTACTTGACCAAAATAAGACCCAGATGCCTCTGGAGAGGCCAACTAATGGAAGGAGGCCTTGGGGGGTACCCCGACTCATTTTGGGCACTTGGGAGAGGGCCAAGGGCTAACCGAAATGTTGTGCCCAGCCTATTTAAGTTGGGAGAGCAGTCCGCCACACACATATTTGCATGAGGCAAGTGCATGCTGACCAATGAGCTTAAAAGAGCACTAGACTCAACCGGAGTAAGAGGAGGGAAACCGGTGCCAGTATGAGAGCTTCGGGGAGACTGTAGGCTAGTGGAAGGAGCTAAAGAGGCTGGTGGAAGTAATGTTGGCATAGGGGAGTGTTCCGCCATAGCCATCAGGCTGTGAGGTAGAAGGAAAGGCTAGAGAGTCCCATTTAGCCTTCCTAGAGGGAAGGACTTCGTAACGTAGTGATAAGAGTCTGCCATAGCCTGAGAAAGGCTGAGAGAAGAAGAATGATCAAGGCTTGAAGAAGAAGGAAGTCGTAGTCAGATAACAAGTGTGCAAAGCTTCATAAAGGTTGTCATCACAACACTAAGACACAAGAGGAGGTGAGTGGGAAAGGAGAAGATGCCCCCTTTCTTCATCACCTTCTTCCTTTCTTCTTCTTCTTCTTCTTCTTCTTCTTCTTTTTCTCCTTATTTTACTCCTTCTTTCTTCCTTTTTTTTCCCCTCTTCTTCTTCTTCCTTCTTCTCTCTCTTTTCTTCGCTTTCCTTCCTCTTCTCTCTCTCTCTCTCTCTCTCTCTCTCTCTCTCTCTCTCTCCACCTTTTCTTTCCCTCTCCTCCCCTCATACCAAACTTGGGAGGAGTAGGTAGTAGTTCCCCAACTAGAGGTTGCCTCCATTTAGTTCATTTTTTATTTTTTTTTATATCGCAACTTTAGTTTTTGCCTTCACTAGCCTTGGGTGAGTGTTTTGTTATCTTTTCCTCCATGTTTTGTCCTACCCCACTTGGATGTAAATTGCCACTTTGATTATTGCAGCTTCTAGTGTTGCGAGTTTCCTTCTCTCTTGTTTTGAATATTAGGACTTTCAGCAAATAGTGAAGTAATAAGGTAAGAGATTACTCGTCTGACATGACAAGGAGTTTACCACTTTCATCGGCGAACAACCGAACCCTTGAAACCTCGACCTTTCACCATATTCACTATAGTCACTTGTAAGAACTTAAGTCTATTTTCTCACTCCAATGTAAATCGCCGATTTGGTTTTCACCTTCACCAGCCTTGGGTGAGTGTTTTGTCATTTTCTCCTCCATGTTTTGTTCCATCTTCCACTTGGGTGTAAATCGCCGCTTTGATTCTTGCTTCTTCTAGTGTTGTGAGTTTCCTTCTCTCTTGTTTTGTTCATTTCTTCACTCCAATGTAAGTTGCAACTTTGGTTTTTGTCTTCACTAGTCTTCGGTGAGTGTTTTTTCATTTTTTCCTCCATGTTTTGTCCCATCTTCCACTTGGGTGTAAATCGTCTCTTTGTGTTGTAAGCTTCCTTCTCTCTGGTTTTGTCCATTTCTTCACTCCAATGTAAATCGCAACTTTGTTTTTTGCCTTCACCAGCCTTGGGTGAGTGAAATTTCAAGTCTGTGTAGCCTACAAAAGTTGTCCAACCCACAAGAATGGCTGGATTATTATGTAAGAAAACTGGAAAGGGAAAGTGAAGTGGAATTTGAAGTTTGCGTAGCCTACAAAAGACACATCCTGAAGCTGAAAAGCTTCAACTTCACACAATAAAAAATCAACAGTCAAATTCCAATCCAAAACCAATTTGAGGTGCTGGAAAAAGAACAAAAGTTGTCTGATTTCTTTGCAGAACGCTATGGCCATACACTGGACAGTCCAGGGGAACACACAGAAGGTTCCCACAAGCTAATCCAGTGGCCAAAGTTGTACAGTGACACAGTGCTCACCCATCCCAACAAGAAGACAAAGGGGCAAAAAAGAAAAGTAAGAAAACCAGTGGACGGCACCAATCAAAAGGAAGAAGATGAAGAAATAGGGAACCATCTAAGCACAAGAGAGAACCTTGACAAATAGAAAGAGATACTACTAGCCCAAATCACAGCCCTCAAGGACCACCACACACTTACTTATGTAGAAGAGCTCTCCCTTTTCCCCTTCTTTGATAACAGTGTCCCCGGCCTTGAAAGAAACCTGTCAGGAACAACCAATCCATAAAATGCCATAATCTCAAGACGTTGTTGGAGTCCACACTATGAAAAAATGCCTCACTGCTCTGTTAGGCCCAAAAATCGTTTTCGTTTGCACCACAGTCAGTTTCCATGCAACCAATTCCCGAAGTGGTAAAACGTCAATAAGTACGATATTTCTTTGGATCAAGGCACACACCCAATCCCAAGATTGGGTCGAATCCAAACACAATTCGAAAAACATAACAATAAAAACATTCATCTCCTTTACACTTGACTACTGCTGGAGCACCCCAACACAAACACAACCTTCAACAAGAATCTGCCTCCTCGGAATCCAGCGAAGGTGCCAAGATTAAGATCCGCATGATGGAGATGAACTCTACTTGAACAAAATGTGCACAATGCATAGTGGATTTTTCCCCATTGCTTAAAAAAAAGTTGCTCTGATAGATCTGTTTTATTCTGAGAAGTGTCGCTCAGGTTCCTTTCTCACCCCCAAACTAACAGAATACTACAATTTACAACATTTAGACTACCTTCTTAACCCGAAAAAAATGTACGTACCTTGTATACGAATACAACGTACGTACGTTATAAAACGAGTTTTAGGGTACAACTTTTCAGAAGTCTCTAGTACCACCATTATTTTTATTTTGATCTCAAATTTGGTTGGGAATACCGCCAAGACCCTCAGGCAAAAGTTGCTTGCATTGCAATGTTGTACAACATACTTTTTTTTCGGATTTTTTACTGAAGTTTTTTTTTTAAATCGAAATTCTGAAAAAATCAGTAAAAATTTACGAAACATTTTCATCCTCGTTTTTATTTTTTTCTCGAATTTTCTCGTGAATTTTGATAAGACCCTCACGCAAACATTATTTGTATTGCATTGTTATATAACATTTTATTTTTTCAGATTTTTTTGATTATTTTTGAAAAAACAAAGTTCCAAAAATTTGAATACAACATACGTACGTTGTATTCGAATACAACGTTCGTACGTTATATTCGAAATACGTTCTATTCGGGGAAAAACAAGCGATTTCTGAAAACCTGATTTCCATAGGTAATTCGAATAGAATGTACATACGTTTTTTTTCGGGTTAAGAAGGTAGTTGTAATGAACCCAATCTTAAAGTTGACAATACCAGCCTCATGCATAAAGCTCATGATGCTCCATGATGGACAACTCGAAGAGATAGTTTCCAATAATACGCAGATGGCTTGGCGCCCGTGGGGGACTTACCTTCATGTCAGTGATGGCAGCGGGTACGAGGCAACACTGACGATAGTTTCCAATAATACTCAGCTGGCTTGGCGCCCGTTGGGGACTTACCTGCGCATCGGCGATGGCAGCGGGAGTTTGTAGTTGACGGGGGAGGTTTGTTCAATGATGAGGAAGGGTCCGAACCACTTGTTCGAGAGTTTCTTGGACAAGCCGTGTTCAGGTTCGAAGCGTTTGGCGGAAAGCCAAACTTTGTCCCCTACTTCGAATGACACGTCACGTCTGTGTTTGTTAGTCTTGTTGGCTTTTTGTTTTTGTGCTCGTTCAAGGGGTTCGGTAGCTTCTCTTATGATTCTGCTCATTGTTGCTACCCATTCATTGAGAGAAGGGCAGGTGGTGGAGGGGTTGAGTTGCGTGGGGAGCAGAAAGTCGAAGGGCAAGCGTGGATGATAGCCAAGGTCGAGGTAGAATGGAGACATGCCACTGGAAGGGCAGGCAACATTGTTGTAGGCAATCCCGGTGGCGGTGAGCAACTGATCCCAATCGTGTTGATATGGATGGCAATACTTCCTTAGGATTCTTTGGAGAGTATCGTTCATCTTCTCGGTTTGTCCATCGGTCTGTGGGTGGAATGCAGTGTTATACTTGAGCATGGTTCCGTAGGCTTTAAAGAGGTGTTTCCATAATTGTGAAAGGAAGCGAGGATCACGGTTGCTGATGATGTTCTTGGGGAGACCGTGAGGGCGTGCGACATGGTCGAAGAAGAGAATGGCGACGTCCTTGGCGCTGTGCGATGTGGTGCAAGGGATGAAGTGGGCACGTTTAGTCAAGCGGCAAACAATGACATAGATGCAATCATGTCCGCAGTCGGTCTTGGGGAGACCACGGTCGAAGCCCCTGAAGATGGACTGCCACCGGTGGGTGGGGATGGGCAATGATTGTTGCTTGCCAAGCTTGGCGTGATTTGAGGGGTTGACGACTTGATATGTGGGGCATGAGCAAATGTAGGCTTTGACGTCGGCAAGAAGGGAAGACGAGTAGAAGTAGCGACATATGGTGTCGAAGGTTTTTTGAAACCCGAGGTGTCCTGCGGTCTTGGCGTCGTGATGCTCGACCAAGAGTTGGGTACGGAGGCCACGTGCGTCAGGGATGCAAAGTCGGCGGGTGCCTTTAGTATCGATGTAAAGGAGATTGTCATGGAGGGAGTAGTTGGGGACAGGGTCGAGGTCACGAAGTTTGTTGTAGATTGTTGAGAAATCCGGGCAAGAGAGGTAGAGGTCACGAAGTTTGTTGTAGATCGTTGAGAAATCCAGGCAAGAGAGGTAGCCTTGGGTGTAGCGGTGGTGAAGCGATGGGAGGAGTTGGATATGAATCATGGTGGCATTGTTCATTGCCTAATCGGACAAGCCAATCGAGTCGGGCTTGTTCCTCAACAACATCAGAGAAGGTGTCAGAGGATGAATTCGAAAGGAGGGTTGCAGAACATGTGGCGGTGAGGGGGGCGTGAGGTGACTAAGGTTGTGACGCCTGGGGGTCGTCCGGTGGGATGTCCGGCACCGGAGAGGGGGGAGGCAAACGTATTGTCCATGCCAAATGGGCCACTGGTGGGGTGGAGGTTGTCACCGATGGGATGGCCGGCAGACTAATTGTCGATGCCGGGACGGGTTCATGGTGATCCTGGGGACGGTGTTCATGTGGGGGAGGGACCGGGAGTGGCGAATGCGGAAGCCGGGGGTCGGGGGGCTGCGGACCTGGGTGCCTGACGTGTGAATTGTTCGACCTTTGGACAGTTTGTTTGTTGATGTCCTAACTATCAGCTCCGGAAACAACCACCGTTTGCTTGGAGGGAGGTTCGCTCCTCCGGCGTGAGTTTCGTGAGACAGGTTGGGTGGGTGTTCATGGGAGGATGGCTCGAGCGTTCTCTCTTTTCCATTTGCATGAGGTGAATGGCGGAGAATTTGTCAGAGGAGAGTGATGTGGTGTCTAGTGGATCAGAGAGGATGTCGGGGTCGGGGGCGGAGAACTCGTCCGAGGAGGCAGAAAGAGAGGTTTCGTCGGTGATGTTATGAAAGAATCGTGGGCGGGGTGGGGCAGATGTGAGTGCGTCCTTGTACGGGGTGAGGAATTTGTCCAGGTGAATGGCGCGGTTGAGGAGATCGGAGAGAGACATCGGGGGGTCGTGGACGAGGGAGGCGAATAGGTCCTTGCGGCATCCCCGTTCGAAGCGGGAGATGAATGCGGCATTGCTGACGTAGTCAAGGGGGATGTGT